ATAGTAATAATAGTAATAATAATAACTTTTTCGTTATCATTTCAAATATAATCAAATTCTTATCAATTTCATTAAATAGTATGACTTGGGCATGTACTACTTAATTAAATAAAATGAATCATTCATTAAATGAAATGAAATTTGCAGTAACAATGAATTAAACTTGCCAAAATAAATCATTTGTTAAATTTTAGAATGTTAGAAATTGCTAAATGTTATACCGAAAAACTCATCGATTTTATTTAAATGCATTAAATTCAAAATTTTCAAACTGGAAAGTAAGTAATGATTAATTATTAGGTAATGAATAATAAATAAGTAATGATCAATAATAAGTAATGAATAATAAATAAGTAATGAATAGTAATAAGTAATGAATAATTATTAGGTAATGGATAATAAATAAGTAATGAATAATAATAATAATAATAATAATAATAATAATAATAATAAGAAAATAAATAATGAATAATAATTTATATTATAAAATATTAATTTTAATATATTTTAATAAACAGTAATATGAAATGAAAGTTACCATTTAATTTCCAAAGTTTTCTTCTTCCTTTCATTATGATAAATAAAAAGAATTACACATTTCATCAATTTTTTTCGATTAAAAGAATTACCGTACGCTTACCGTAAAAGTTACACATTTCGTCAATCTTTGATCACTGTAATGCTAGTCATAAAAATTAGTTAGCTGGTACTAAATTCAGCCATTCTTGTTTGACATGAATTTCAAGAGTTTCGCAAAAATTTTAGCAATTATTATTTTTTTTTTGAATTTTAAATTTGAATCAAAGTTTTTTAGATGAAATTTTTTTTGATAAAAGTTTTTAAATTTGTTTAATATCATTTTTGATGAATAATTAAAAGAAATTTTTCCTTATCAAACAAGTGTTAGCTGAATAAACTGTAAGCAGAGAATTAATCTCTTACATTTATTTTGTTATTCATTTACAATAACATTTATTATTGTTATTACTATTATTATCATCGTTATCATTATTATCATTATTACTATTATTATCATCGTTATCATTATTAGCATTATTATATTTTACTCAATTTATACGTATGTTTATTCAATTACACAATTTATTTATTCTTTCATTATTACTATTATTATTATTATTATTATCATCATCATCGTTATTATTATTATCATCATTACTACATTTTACTGAATTTATATGTATGTTTATTCAATTACACAATTTATTTATTCTTTCATTATTACTATTATTATTATTATCATCATTACTACATTTTACTGAATTTATACCTATGTTTATTCAATTACACAATTTATTTATTCTTTCATTATTACTATTATTATTATTAATATTATCATCGTTATTATTATTATTATCATCGTTACTACATTTTACTGAATTTATATGTATGTTTATTCAATTACACAATTTATTTATTCTTTCATTATTACTATTATTATTATTATCATCATTACTACATTTTACTGAATTTATACCTATGTTTATTCAATTACACAATTTATTTATTCTTTCATTATTACTATTATTATTATTAATATTATCATCGTTATTATTATTATTATTATCATCGTTACTACATTTTACTGAATTTATGCCTATGTTTATTCAATTACACAATTTATTTATTCTTTCATTATTACTATTATTATTATCATCATTACTACATTTTGCTGAATTTATACCTATGTTTACTCAATTACACAATTTATTTATTTTTTAACATGCATCGATATGTTTACTCAACTCCACAATTGATTCATTAATTCTCCAACATGCCCTTTTTCCAGTTCCTTGTCATGTTTTTTTTATCTAACGGGCAATTTCGTTTTTTCCTGAATTGTTAAATTCCAATAACGAAATTTATTTTGATTTGTAAACTGATAATTGTAAACTGTTACATTCAGATATTGAAAATAATAAATTTTCTACTTCGTTCTTCGTTCTTCTTTTCTTGATTTCTCATGTTGTATTTAATGATAATGTTTGTAACAAAGATCGATTATTTGTTTTTTCCCCTCTTTCTTCTTCTATTTACAACAATGTTTGAAATGAGGAGAATTCCTTCTGGCAATTTTTCTTCGTTTTATTTTTCTCATCAAATCGATATTAAAGGAAATATAATTTGTCAATTTGTCATATCATTACGAATAATATCTATCTTAAAAAAATAAGAATGTGAAATAATTTATGTCATAGTTAGGCTAATTTAATCTTCTAATATACTTTTTTGTTTTTTACATTCCTTCTATCTGATATATCATTATTTCAATAATATATTAAGGAATTGAATTGAATTGAAATGAAATGAATTGAAATGAAATATATAAAAAGGGAAATTAAATTTAATTACAATATATTTTAATATTATATTTTAGAAGAACAAATATAAAAAGTAATTTTAATATTTCAAATATTCTAATGCAATTTCGATATTTTTATATTATGCATATCGGCTGGTTTAATTCAACTACTACACTTTCAACACTTTCAACAATGTTCAATTTCATTACAAATAAATGTTATAAGAGAGAGAGAGAGAGAAAATGAGAGGGAGAGAGAGAGAGAGAAAGGAAGGAAAGAGAGAGTGAAAAATAGACAGGAAAAATGGATGTGAATAGATTGATCTTCTGGAAATTTCTGAAAAAGAACAAACTCAACGGGGGCATAGAAATAAGCGATATAGCACATACCCTACTCTTCCTCATAACATCAGAAACTTTGTAACTATTGTGCCGTATGTCTGATCATTTGGCGAAACTTATATTTATCGTCAGACATAATAAACTTCGTACCCAACGGATGATATCATTCGTAGATTGGATGTGGATTTCGCGTGGGCGGAATTTCAATTCCCGCTCTAATTTGAATTCAGTTGAAATTTCTGAAATTTTTAAAACAATAATACTAGATATGGTAAAGAGTTTTTGAGAAAATTGATATGAAAACATTTGAAATATGTTTGTAATTAATTATCCTGGAATTATACGTATCGCAATAACGATTAGAAGATCGATATATCAATTTAGGTAGTGAAAAACAATCGTTACAGAACTGGATTACAACGGAATGAATAGCATTTGGGAATGTTCTTACGACGGATCACAGATCCATGCAACGATCGTTTGGTTGCACCATTATCTTCATCATCAAAAGATTCATGCAACGATCGTATCTTCATCATCAGAAGGATTATTACACTGAACATCGCTGATAAACCATCGGCAATTTTTCTGATAAGTAATTATTGATCTCTCTGCTAATCTTAATAATTATTGTGATTCCTGATATGCGTATATATTTACATTTTTGATTATCATTAACTTTCCCTCGTATCATATAAGTTTTATCCTCAATATTTATCATTTTTAATTATTTAATCATCTACTTAGCTAATTATTAGTTATCTGCTTTATTTCTATACTTATTTATTTGGTTAATTATTACTTGCTTAATTGCTCACCTAATTATTCACTACTTATTTAGAAGTATTTTTTTATTCCTATCACTGTCACTGTAGGTACATCACTTATTACTTTTCGATTTATTTTCTACATTTATTATTCATTACATCTATACGTCCATAAGTCCACAAATTTTCTACTCATTTACGATTTAATATTTTAATTATTTAGTGTTGCTCAGTCACATTTTCCTATTGCATCTTTAAGTATAAATTTATTACCTCTTTGATTGATTGAAATTTTTTACGCAAGTTTTATCATTTATCGTTCAAATTTTCAAAAAATTCAATTTGACTGATCTCTTCAACTTATGTTAGCAATATCATTGTAGATGTTTCGTATACTCATATTGTCCGTGCCACACTTAGCAGTGATGTATACTAATAATCTTCATTCAGGATTTCTCACTTCGATAAGTCTAAGTGATGGTATTGAGTAATGCTAAAAGCGACGATGTGAGAAGAGATAGTGATATTACGAAATTTTGTAATTTACGGGAACGGCCGTTATTATTACGACTTAATGGAATATTATATGATATAGCGCTGTTTGCTTCGAAACATCCTGGCGGACAAAAGGTTTCTCCATTATTTTTATTTTTGTTTTCTTTTTGCTTTTATCTTTGAAATATTTTAAACGTAAGAGATTTAAATTCGTTATTTTTCTAAGATAATTTTGGGAAACTATGAATCATTCCACCAGTTGGAATGGTTTGCACTAACTTCGTAAGTACTCAAAACTCGAGTACTTTATGGCTTTATTTGGAGCTATGACATTATTATTGCATAGAAAATTGTCCTGGACTTCGAACAATCTATCATATGTAATATATTTAGAGGAAATTGATTTTTATGTTATGTTGCAAATATTTGATCAAAGGAAAATAACCAAGGATAAGTGAGGGTAAAGGTAAATAATTAACATAGTTGTATTATTATTTAAAATTATGACTACAGATATACAACGATTGGTAGAGTATGGTTACAATTGTGTATTGATAAATTTTTTTACTATTTGTTCCAGGTACTTAAACATTTAGCCGGTGAAGATATTGATGAATATATGAATGGTAGTAAGCGTATCCTCGGTGTTAAACATGCACACTCAGCAGCTGCTTATCGGATACTGGAAAAATATGCCGTCGACAAATGCTACGAGGTTTGCTGCTTTGGTCGTAGTATATTATATGTAGCAAATTTCTCGGAAAGTAATGTGTTTCAATAAATAATACATGATTCCTCTTTTCTTTAGGGCTAAATTTTTCGGCGTCTTATTACTAATATCGGAGCATTCTTGGTTAATATATCCAAATTACAAATATAATTGAAAGCAATCAGAAAGTGAATACGTGTAATTGTGTATGATAATTTATTAATGACAGCATTCAGCAAATAATTGAAAACTTTAGTGAAATGTTACCAACTACGTACATGGTACGTATTGCATAATAATGCAACATTTTAAATTTTAATTAAAATAAATGTCTCAAGCGGCTGAAATTTTCAAAGAAATTTAAAAATCTTTGTCGTGAAAAAGTTATCATTTATGAAAAGAGTTTGTGTATTATGTCATAGGACGCTGCAGGTGACAAAAATAATCTTTTCTTTTGAAGGGGAACGATGAATTATTATCTGATAAGCCGATTTTAAGTAGAGTTGGTTATTTGGGTGATCGATATTGGACATGGATTCATCAACCATACGATGGGACACTTCGATTATTCGAATCAGATGTTCTGGAAAATATGACTAGGACAAGATGGTGGGTGGTACCACTTGTTTGGATGCCTTTAGTGATTTTCTTCACAGTACGCGCCTTTGCGATGATTTTCCAAAGCTATGGTAATTCTTAGTCTTAAAATATTTGTTCAAATATAGGCACTTTTTTTGAATGTTTTTTTGGGTTGCCAAATATGGAGAAATTGCCAGTTAGGAATCAATTATATATTTCTACATTTTTCTTGATCGCGTCCTCTCAGAATTATTTCAGGAAATTTATATTATCAACTTAAACACTAAATATATCGATTTTATGTAATGGCTTGAAGTAATGATTTTGTTTCCAAAATTTTTGATACTTGCCGATATTTCATCTAAGCTTATATTTGCAGAATTTTTGTACGGCCTTATTGTTTGGGCAGTTCTTTTCACATCAGGTGTTCTTGCATGGACCCTTCTAGAATATCTTCTTCATCGTTTTGCATTCCACTGGAAACCGAACCCAGAATCACGCTTCCAAATCATTTCTCATTTTCTATTACATGGTTTGCATCATAAGGTTAGATTTTGAATTAATTTCTAATTTTTTGCATTTCAATACAAGTTTATATTGGTTTCATACATTTATTCTCACTCCAAAATGTTTTATCAATAATTGCCCTGAAAGTTTTATTGTTCAAACACCCGTTCTTGTTTAATCGATTTTGTTAGCCAAAACCTTTTTTTTATAAAATTTAAACATTGGATTCAGACATGGATGATGAATGTTCTTGAGTAGTCGAAGAGCTTATTCATTTATAACACAACTAATGTTTTCAGACGCCAATGGATGGTGATCGTTTGGTTTTTCCACCAGTTCCGGCAGCTCTGATTGTTGCATTTTTTTATTATTTGTATGCTTCATTACTTCCATACGACATATTTTGTTGTTTTGGCGCTGGTAAACTGTTTGGTTATATCATTTACGATTGCTCACATTACTATTTTCATCATGCCGATCCATTACCAGGAACGAATCTACATTTTCGAAAAACTTATCATAATAATCATCATTTCAAACATTTCGACCTAGGTATATTTTATTTTAATTTTCAGTTTTTTTTCTATAATGATCACGAATTCTGTTTAAAGGACATGACGCTTTTTATGATCCCATAATTAATTTGAATTGATGCAATATCAGTGAAATAACAACTTCTTTTTTCCTTTAACCTGATAAAGAAGATAAAAGAACTTTGTCAAAATCTATACAATTTTCACATTTCGAACTCATAGTATTACCGTTTAGACTACTGCCCCTTTTTTTAAAATCGTTTTTTTTTTGCATTTCTGGTGAAGTTGCTCTAACTTTAATAGTATTGTCTTGTTCGTAATATAAAGCTGTCTGATATAATCAGCTTTTTTTATTCTCTTTCATGCTGAAGTACTTGACTATTTATAGTAGGAAGTTACATAAGGGGTTTTTTGTTTCAAATTTTTGGGAGTTATCGAAAAAGAATTTTACTAACGAAATGTGGTAAAAGGGTAAAAGACCTTCAAACTTCTGTTTTTTTAGCTTTTGGGATATCGACTGTTTTATGGGATTATGTTTTTAACACAGTTGGCGCAGGGCCACTATGATGAAGTTTCATTATCTTACATTGTTCATTGAACTTACTGCTCGTTTGGGCATAACCTTAAAAGAGTATTGTCATTGTCATAATTGCTTGTTATTCAATCAATACAAAGCCAGCTTTATTTCTTTAACTTGCCGCTCTAATTTATAAAAAATTTTCATTTTCTTGAAATTGTAATTTTAAATGAAATGTTTATGTAAATTATTCTTCTGTTATGTAATTATCGTGCTGCTTTGTAATTCAGTTATATGATGAGACAGATTCCAGCGCTTATTTTGCGCAGCAACTTGCAAGAAGACATGGAGATTTGTTTCCTTGCTGATAAAACGAAATAAGCGTTGTAATTCTATTATTGTCTTAAAATTATGCGCTGTAACATAAGGTAAGATTTAGAAGTCTTGAATTTTTGAATAACTAGAAGTAGTTTAATAAAAATATTTTTGATTAATCGTAGAAATAATTTTATGGATATTTGTTCTTGTCCGAGATCTTCGTCTGTTTGACGCTAATATATAACTGATTATGTAAGAGGTAGATTTTGCAACATGATATTCTAAATTCATAAGGTGAAATCTACTGAATGCTCTTTATTCTGATGAAATAAGTTGAAATATTTTGTAATAATTGTGCCAAGTTGTTCAATAAAAACATATTTTATTCGAAAAGCTATCTCAAATGTAGCAATTATAAAAAGAACCTTATGGTTACTAGAAAGATGGAATACGTACAATACAATATCCATCTATTAATATTTAAGAAATATAAATTGCATATGTTGTGCCTTAGCTCATTTCATTTCGTTGTATCTGTGGGACAGATCTTATTCATTAAATGAACAAAAAGCGCAAAACTGGATGTGATGACCTCCTACATCAGGAATAGTCAGAGCAAAGTATATTTTCAGGATTTAGTAAATCATAATACTGCTAGCCCCAGTGTAACTGGACTTTCTGTTTTCGGGGTGTATTATGATAGGTCATCCAAAAAAATTTATCATGTGGGATTCAAGGTGATGCGGAAATTAGATAAGACACACTTACTCTATAACCTTTATGTAATTGCTATGTAATTTTGGTACTTGGACAGCCAATGTAAATGGTGCAGTTTTAGTAGCTCATGCTGATGGTATCTGAAGCATTCACAGGCTGAATAAATGACATAAATGATATGATGATGGCTGCTTTTCCCTCTTCAATTTATCATCAAAGATTATTTTGAAAGTTTATGAGCTCTGACAAGAAATGGATATTATGTAACTCAGGATACATTCTTATCGAAGGTATAACGCAGACACACCGCTACGTTGATTTTATAAGTTCCTATGGGATCAGTTATTTTCATAAAGCCCCCCTCATCGAGGGGCCGCTTTCGTTGCTTTTAGGAATTATTCTGAGGTGTTAACCGAATGAGGAGTAGGTGCTGCAACGGTGACTAACTAACTTTTATAATTTTCAGTGATATTCATAGCTGCACTATATTGGTTTGCAGGTTTGGTGTGTAATGTACTTGAAGTTTTATCTGGACGAAGAAGGAAACAGAATTTATACTCTCAAAGTTAGTTAATTTATGATTATCGTAAATATCGTTCCTGAGATTTCAATCATTATTGATAGAAATAAGCTATATGAGCGATGCATAGATGGTGTCCCCTCTATAAATATATATTTATGCATTAGTCTGAAATTGTCAAGTTTACTGTATACACACATGAGTTGGAAAAGCAGAAAAATGATTTGGGGAAATTTCTTGTTGGAAAAATATAATTTTGGTTGTGTTATTGCAGGGCATAGATTCCCAAGGCCGACAGACGCAAAGCGCTCATCCTGCTCGTTTCTCACCCGAAGACAAAAATTCGAAATATAGGATAATTATCAAGAAACGTTTTGGTATTTTACCTACAATGCAACCGAAGCCAGTTTATTAATTCAGAAAACATAAACCTTAAAAGGTTCACATATATTCACATAAACGTTCATATATGCAAGTTTTACCATGTTAATATGGGAGTGGCGACGAAAATGGCGACAGTATATTCGTAATAGGCGGCCACCATCACGTTTAACATATCAGCAATTAACAAAAAGGTTAATCCAACATCCTTTAAGAATAAAAGGGAAAAGAAAGATGGCAATTGAGTAGTGATGACATCCTTCAAAAAATTTCATGTTCTGGAATATTTTTCTTGTGTTCTTTCCTTGTCGAAATATGGATCTTATGTTATACCCGAACTTTGTGAGCTTAAAAGGCCTTGGTTTTGAATTTTTTAATCCTGAATAAGTCTTTGGTAGAAATAAGTTCAATGATTATAAAGTATTTCGGTTTTAGTTGTGAAAACTGTGTTTAACTATCCGTATTGTCAGCAACGATTTGTTTCCTTCATTATTACCTTTTTAGCTCCTCGATTTTCTGAGATCAGGTTCATGGTTGTTATGGGGTACTAAACACAAACTGCAATCCACTATTCCGCTACATGCATTACATTATTTCGAGATTGACAGAAGATATTAGTGTTTTCCTCGTCTTGATATATTTTTAAGCAGTATGACCGTTCTAGATAACTGTGTTCTTCGGTTATAACGCAATACAGTGAGGACTTTAAGTTAAGATGAGAGTCTTAAATTTAATTGAATTCAAAACTGTGAATTCGGAATTAGTTATTTCACAAACCTTTCAATTGATTTGTCAAGAGTTTTGTAGGTTTATTGATTTTTCCATTTCAGATATGCGAGAATCTCATTCGTCTTCTTTATTATAGGATGGCATATTATTGGCTTTGTGATATGGAATAAAGTAGAGAAATGGAGGAAAGACAATCCACAGGACAAAGTTTTGTTAAGTGAAATGCCTAGAAAAGGTTTCAGAGAACTTGCAGAGGAGAAAAAAGGGATTATTGACTTTGAGGGCGGGGATGAATGAGGATAGTAACGATCTGACTTAACTGCTCTACTGTTGGAACGAATTGCATAAATCCTAGTACTGTAGAAACACAAATCCCTTTTTCATTCTCTTTATATGCTATTTTGATATTTATACTAAATTTGATTATTGTTACGTTGTTGCTCCTCGCCAAAATAGCGTTTTGAATAAAGTGTTCATGTGGCTGAATCTGATGACTTTAAACAAATCATCATAACGAGTCACACAAAACTCGAATTGGCCATGTCACACCACTTCATAGCTCGCATCTCATTCCTTTCCGACGATCATCATTGAGGTATCCTTATGAATAGTGCATTGCAAGGTGAAATGCTCCAACACTGCAGAATTAATGAATGCTTAATCGTAACTTATGTTTATTGATGAATATTTTTGTCCTTTCTTCTTGCTCTGAATGGTTTTAATTAGTAATTTCTCCTAATTGGTTTTACAAATGTAGGTGTAGTTCCCTTTCTTAGATGTCTCTATGCTCGCTTTATTCTCGCACTATAGAAAAGTGGTTATAGAATATCATGATTTTCCGTCTGTAACAGTCCAATTCCCCTCTGTCCCAAAAATAAATACACTAGATGTAGGAAATTTTGAGTATATCAGCAGCATGTAGAAACAACAGGATCATAATACAAATATGAATGCGGTATGTCGCTGCGAAAGATGTAATAGGTAATACGAAGTATTAATGATCATGTATATAAAGCACAACAAAGGAGGAAAATATTCTTTTAACGAAACAACGATTGAATTCAATTAATTGGAAAAACCAATGCCAAAACAAAGAATTCCTTTCCTAAATGGAAAGAAACTAGAAAAAGAACTGATTTACTGTTATTTCTTCTTTTTTACGCCAACGCCTGCTTTTTGAGCAGCTTTTGTAACTTTACCAACACCTTCTGACTTCTCCACATTCTTTATTACGCCAACAGCAATTGTCTGTCTCATATCACGTACAGCAAATCGTCCTAGTGGTGGGTACTCCGCAAACGTCTCGACGCATAATGGCTTAGTCGGTATCAAATCGATGATGCCCGCATCACCAGATTTCAGTGACTGAAAAAATGTGCCGGAAATCTTGAGCATGTGCAAATTAATTGTAAACTCCTCCGCAGCTTCACTCTAAATTCTTACATCATCCAAGCTAAACATAACCAACAGTTAACTTCATCTAAGATGCCCATAGAATCTCGTAGGAATTCCAAATAAATTCTTTGGTTTTATGGATTCTTGAAAATATTAGTCATTGAATGCGCCACTAGCATCATTAAAGCTCACTGCATGAAGGAGGCAATGAAGAAAAATAGTGAAAGCTAAAAAACCTTTGGATTATCCTCCACTTTTTTGCCGGATCTTCGATCAACTTTCTCCTTGAGCTCTGCAAATTTGCAAGCAATATGAGCGGTATGACAATCAAGCACAGGAGTATATCCGGCAGAAATTTGACTTGGATGATTTATGATAATGACCTGAAATAGCCATATGAATTAGGTTTCAGTTGAAATGAGTGATCTTTAGGCAAGTTTTAGAGATGTCCGAGTCCTTCTATCACAAGTGTTCTTCTATCACAAAATTTTAGCCGGATTTCAGGATATGCGCTTTCATGTTAGCAATATATTGGAGAAAAAAAGGTCACTTCTATTGCTTAACGACCTCCGCTGGTGATCACCTGGATGATGTCTACTCATGAGATAGCTTACCTGGGCGGTGAACATTTTAGTTTCCTTAGCCGGATCATTCTTTGAGTCAGATGCCACTGATCCTCGTCGAATGTCTTTAACAGAGATGCTTTTAACATTGAAACCTACGTTATCACCAGGCAACGCTTCTTGCAATGCTTCATGGTGCATTTCCACAGATTTCACTTCAGTAGTTAAATTTTGCGGTGCAAACGTTACAATCATGCCTGGTCTCAGAATGCCCGTCTCTACACGTCCTACCGGTACTGTTCCAATACCTGAAAATATTCAACAAACTATTCGAAAGTTGTAATTTTAAATCCAATAAGACTTTTCTATTCCAGTTAAAGCATAAAATAACAATAAAATATTAAAAACAAACCTCCAATTTTATAAACATCCTGAAGGGGTAAGCGAAGAGGCTTGTCGGTGGGTCTCTGAGGTGGAATGATTGAATCGAGAGCTTCCAAAAGTGTTTTACCAGTCACAGTACCATCTTTGCGTTCAACAGACCATCCCTTGAACCATGGCATATTTGTGGATGGTTCAAGCATATTATCACCATTGAAACCTGTAAAAAATCGGCTGATCTCTAAGATTACAAGAACCGTCTGGAATTATATTATAGGCAATCATTTCGGAAAAATCGTTCCTGACTCGTATATGCATGTCATACCAATGTTAAATCATTAAACTGTTTAAATCGTTAAACTGTTTACTTTCTTATCAAGTGAGTATCAATCGGTCATCCATATCATCTGTGTTAGGGGTATTTTTGATTTTCAAAATTTCAAATTCCATTTAATTTCACATCTCAAAATAAAATATCCATTTGGAAACAAGCGTATAATGAGCCACGTCATATGATGTGTGAAACCAACAGCCCACCTGAAATCGGTACAAATGCAATCGACTTAGGATTATAACCAATTTTCTTGATGTAATTTGAAACTTCCGTGGTAACTTCACGAAATCGTGCTTCCGAAAATGGCGGCTCAGTAGAATCCATTTTATTGCACGCGACAATCATTTGCTTAACTCCTAATGTTTGGGCTAATAAGGCATGCTCACGTGTTTGTCCATTTTTTGAAATACCAGCTTCAAATTCACCAGTGCCGCATGCTACCACTAAGAGTGCACAGTCAGCCTGAGAAGTACCTGAAACTACGACAATAACTGAGAAAATCTTATTAGCCCAAATATTGGCCCAAATGTCCGAATCACCCGCAATCATCAAATATAATTGTATTCATATCATATTTTCCACTTATCTTTCAATCTCTAAACATTTCCATGGTTCATAGGATATAAAGATCGAATCTGTGGCTTGTGGTCCATGAAAATCAGTTGTTAGTTGCGAAGTATGGATACTTATCAAAAATAAGGCTAGAAAAGGTTGAACAAATGCAACTGATAAAAATAGTTCGTTGTTAAAATTGAATGGTTGAATGACATCCTAACCATTCGTCCCTATCCTTCTTTCTCTCTTTCCTCCTCTCATATCATCTTTTCCAAATCTTAATTTTTAACTTACCTGTGATCATATTCTTAATGAAATCACGATGACCCGGAGCATCAATAATAGTAATGTAATATTTGGGTGTTTCAAACTTCCATAATGCAATATCAATTGTAATACCACGTTCACGTTCCGCTTTCAATTTATCCAATACCCAAGCATATTTGAATGATCCTTTTCCCATTTCCTAAAGAAAACAAAACAATAAAATATTACAAATTTCTTCTGAAATTCTTCCACACCTTTTTATAAACAACAACGTGTATAGAGAAACAACAACCAAAAAAGTGCAACGGAATTAAAAAAGGAAAAAATTTTTTCCTGAATGGCCAGATAGATATCTTATTCCGACTGTTTGAAAAGATTCCTTAATCCTGAATGGCCAGATATCTTCTCCTGACTGGGGGAAGAGATTCCATAATTTACGTGAAATTACGAATAACATCATTTCACTTATGAAATTCATTATTTCTAAATTTCTCTAAAACTGAAAATAGAAAATTCAACAATACCTGTGCCTCTTTTTCGAATTTTTCAATAGTTCGTTTATCTATTCCACCACATTTATAAATCAAATGACCGGTTGTGGTTGATTTTCCGGAATCCACATGGCCAACAACAACGATATTGATATGCGTTTTTTCCTTTCCCATTCTCTTCTTTTTCCTTCTAATCACTTAAGCTGATTTTTACCTTAGCGAAAAAAGAAATCCAACAATCGAAGATAAAATAAAAGCAGAAAAATATCAAAACATCAATGAATCATTCCCATGCTTCCACAAAAGAAAATGAAACATGATATTTGAGGTATCGTAAAATAATCATTCAAATGATATTCGATTAATGATAAATGAGCTTGAACAGGCTTTACCGAAAAAATTATCAAGAAATCCCAGAAATCTTTCAAAAAATCCCGAATGTCTTTTTAAATAAAATAAATGGTAACGAGTAACATTGATTGAGATGAGAAAATCAATTTAAACAAAAAGAAAATTTTCGTTCGATTTTCTTTAATATTACAAAAGAGAATTCAAAAGAGGACAATAATGGAGCACATTTCCTAGCATTCCTGAGAAGTAACTTATAAATATGGAAAATTCCGGAATTCCTCAATTAAAATCCTGAGAATTAGCGGACAAAATCGAGTGCATCAAAATGATATTCTTCTCCTCGGCAAACAGCTCCGATCTTGCCTTATGCGCTGATCTTTTTTTCAACGCCTTTTACATAATATGCATATATATCTCATCCATTCTCCAATTGGCTAAGTCGCAGATCGAAAGTGCAGCAACAATGGAGATTGCAATAATGAACGCTTGCACTTTGGGCTGTGATATTTGAGAGTGCGGGAAATGAATGCTCGGAGGGAAAGGTTAGGTAGTATCAAAAGATTGTTGATTTTGCAAAAAAATTCATTTACTTACAGAGATTATATTCACGGTGATAATTACGAAAAGAATAAGGATATATTGAAGGTCAATGGCCAAGAATTCAATTATCAGAAGGCCTGAGGTTGTCATTGGTTTTCTTTTGTAATCTGTGATAAACGTATTGAAGCGGACAGATTAATTGTCGAGAATGAAGATTAGAGGTGAAAATTTTATGAAAATTGACAGGAGGAGGTCTGACAAACCATGCAAACAATATGTTTAATTGGGTCAACCGGAACGCCCCGGAATTTGTTGGTTATAAAGATGATATATTTATCCTTCCTTTTATTATTCATAAGATGACAATAATAATTAGCAGCCTAACTGCTAATGAATAAATGTAGTGCATTTGATATATTTGATGCCAACCGAAAAAACATTCTGTTTGACCCTTAAAGTGCATGATCCCTAATGGTAGAGTTGAAGGTGAGAAGGTCAAAAGTTGAAATAATAACCATATTAAAAAAATAACCAAATAACCATATTGCTTTTTGATTAGTTGATATCTTTGCAGTTACAGCAAGAATTGAATGAGGGACTGAATTCAAACTGAATAGTTTCAAATTTAATTCGAAAATTTGTCGGGAAGTTTGGATCTTTTGTTAAATTTAAAAGTTGTAACAGTTCTGCTTCAATCGTGAATTTTCAAATTAAATCAATTGACAATCCCATTTCTCGATATTTAATATGTTCCTCACTGTCTTTATAATGATCATTGCAAATCATGCTTTCACTTATATTTTGGTTTTCAGTATCTCTCTTAAAGTTATTAATGGAACTATCACATTTCTCGAAACGGTTTTTTCCCCAAGTAGAGAGAATTTTTTTAATTAAGAAAAGCAAAATTAAAAATTAGAACAAAGTTCCAAACCATGATTTCTATATGATGGTTCTTTCGATCTTCGATACAAAGTATTGTGCAATTAAAGTAAAAAAGGAAATCTGCATTGCAAATTGTAATTTATTAAATAAAAAAAAAATCGAACATCTAATCTACGCATTAGTTATCAACAAATTAAGTATAAATATACAGTGGAACGTATTTTTTTAACATTAGATGGAAGCGTCATCTAATACTGGAAAAATTAAGTCATATAACAATAATTTAGCAAACTCCCATTGAGAGAAATTTAGCTGTATTCGGCGGTAATCCACAGTAATGTAATATATTGAATAATCCTGACAGGTTGTGTCACAAATGAAGGCACACTACCCGATAATTATAAGGCATTATTACATACATTTGGAATGTAGATGAAAAAAAGGATGGAAGATTTTAAATTTTCTGCACAATTTCACTCTTCCCTTAGGAAAGTTAATTTGACTCATGAATTTGTATAAATCGCATTTTTCAGCAAGGAGGGACTAGAAAGCAAAAGACAGTCCTTCCTTTGTCAAATTTATGCTTGGTTATTACTATGAAATAAAAAAGCTCCTAAGGCTTTAATTTTCGAATTTAGCAGCAAAAAAAAGAATGTTGAATTTGAAGAACAATCGTAAATTAATACTTAGACATCATCACTTTCGGATTCAGATTCTGAAATATAGTCATTCTGGAAATCACTTGTATCTATCGACTCACGCATTGCCAATTGAATTAGGGCCCGTGTTTCCGGATCACCCGCAAGATCCACTGGACGCTTTCGTTCATTATTACGTATTGTAGTACTTGCGCCATGTTCCAGTAATATTCTCACACATTCTAAATGACCTTTCCATGCGGCTGCATGCAACGCTGTATCGCCAATTTTATTCTGCAAATCAAAAAGAGATTCACATATCTTCCCCCATTCTCATTAATAAAACTAATAAATACGCTCCCGCATTCTCCAACTTGAAAAAACTTTACCTGTGCAGAAATGCACATACTGGGTATGGAACATAATAACTTAACAATTTCAACATGACCACCATGACTCGACCAATACAATGGTGTCGAACCAGACTTGTCCAAACCATTTACTGACACCTGAATGAATAAATACCTATTGAATAATTTGAACGTAAAATCTTAATAGTTCCTATTCTATTCACCTTATGTACGAATCATTTCATCAATCGACCTGAAATTCTTCAAGTTTGGATTTGAAAAATTGTTTAACAATTGCTTCAATTTGCGAATTCCATGCTTTCTGAACTCTCATAATATTCGGTTTGAAATGAACAGTAAAGTGTGAAAAGACATATGCTCACGAAGTTCATACCAGACTTGAAAGATTTTCGATCAGATACAACAATATAATAAGAACTAAGTACAGTATGCCGAGGCGTTTAAAAGTTACTAATGTTAGCTAGTGACAATTACTGTTATTCCACCTCTACGGATCACCTATCACAGTATCTTATCGAGGTAGTTAGTATTTGCTGATCCTATTTACCGAAACAATTCCTAACTTTTTCAATATCAAATTTCACAAAAGCACAGACGAATAACTTACCGCATTATCGAGACATTCCTTAACACCTTGTATATTTCCTCGTCTTGCTGCATCATGCAATGGATATTCGACATATTCTGCTGTCATCACTATAAATGTCATATTTTCCGATTGTTGTTCAGTAAAAGATTCATCACTTCTCACCAAGATTAATCAATTTAAGATCAATGACTTCCGAGATCGCTTTAAGTATGATGTGATTTTTGCAAGATTATAACGGATGCCAGTTACGACCAATATAATATTTCTAACGCGAAGACCACTATACAAACTAACAAAACTAATCTAATCGGTCTAAAGTAATGCTGAACACATCAAGACTTCCAACATCTTTTATCAAAGCAAAAACTAAAAAAATCTACCATAATTTGATGGAATTAAACCCGCTTGATTTCTACAGCGTGCTGGCCACCATTTTTCGTCATTACTGCTATCGGAAACATACAGCAAATCACCTTCACTGAAAGACAATTCTTTATCCTGAAAAATAAAGCTTAAATAAGTTACAGAAATAACTATATCTTACAAGGAACATAAAACAATCAAGAAAATTAAAGAAAAATTAATTATAACCTTCTCCCTAATTTGCTTATATTAACACGAACAACAGAACTAACATTTTGTGCTGTGTAGTCACGCAAGGCTCGATAAACAGTCACTCGTCCCGGTTTAGGTGCAGGTCTTGGCGATTTTGATTCCATCATTGATTCTCGGAGCACATCAATTTGTGCATTAGAAGATTATCTGAAGATACTTATAAAGAAAGATTGTTCCAGATTATCAGTTTTTCTAAATAAGGTCAGGTTTACCTAAATAAAGCGCAAACTGTGTATTAGTACACTTTTTTCAACACTGAACAATGCACAATTTAAATCACAAATTTTGAAGACCAATGAATAACCAACGAAAGCATGCAAAATATCAAACACCAAGACCATGTCTTGTGATGTCGCATATAATTATATCCTTACATATCTGTTACATATCACAACTCTTGCTATTCTGATCTTAGTTGCAAACTTTTGGAACTTCGTTTCGATTGGAACGTACTGCTCATTTCACTATCAGCAACCAGAAACCCAAATATAAGTTCCTTATTCTTCGTCTCCATTATGGATATTTTCCTGCATCAAATGATCCTGAACTTATTACATATCCTCATTACTCATCTTTTTACTTTCGACTCAATAAAAAACAACTCCTGATAGCAGAGGGAAAATCAATGAATAACAAATCTTACGAGATTCTCCAAATCATAACAGAGTTTCTACTCAAAAACGAAACAGTATTGCAAAGCTAGATTATTCCTTTTTAATCGGAATGATGACTACTTTACTTTGATTATCCTTTCGCTAAATTAGTAATCACGTCGAATCTGACATGAAAAAAGTAACAGAGGAAGTGATACAAGAATCCACTAACGACTTTACGTCAAATGTATACAAAACTAGACAACAAGTTATAAATCATTTATACAAGTTGCATAATAATACTGCATAATAATACTATGCAATAAATAGCTAAAAATTGAAAAAAAATCGTACTATTAATACTTATAATGATAATTACAATTATTTATTTTTGTTCAGCTTCTTTCTGTTCAGATTGCGGCAGTTCGGTTTGGATTTTAGCCAATTCCTCATCCCATTCTTTTTCAATTTTAGACCAGTGAGCAAGTAGTTCTTTCTTTCTTTGCTCACGTCGATTGAAGTAGTAAGGAAATTGTTCACGTTCAACATTTGTCCACGTTGTACCATCAAGCAACTGCAAAGTATACAGAAAAATGCATAACATGAATATTACACAATCTGTCTGTCATAAGGAAATGAACTAAACAGAAAATCGTAATATTTATTAAAGCAGTGTGTACAAAAATTGACTGGTAATTATTCGCAAGAAAAAAAAAAACGAGGAGTTATTCAAATCTTATTCTATCGAAAAAAACATACTTGAAACTTTTTAAAAAAACTTGGCTGGATACATCCCATTTTAAAGAAAAGAATAGCAAGAATTACAAGCAAATATTCCCGGAAACTTTAAGCAAGCAGATGGATTTAGACTCCAAATGCTGACATTAGTATGCTAAGTTTTCCACAAAACATATGCTTCTAATGGGTGATTTATTGAATTCTAAATATGTGTGATGGAAATGGACTATCTTAGCGACAAAAAGTTCACAAGGTATTAGATGATTTGAATTTGAAAATCCAAAACTTACGGCATCAGGCATATTATGCGTATCACGATTGTATGCTGCACCACCAACATCTGAGCCAACTGCAAAAGGAAAGCAACAATTTTAATCATTTCGACGCTACTCTTTGTATGTATTAATGAACACGGGTTCCAGAGTTTCTAGAATACCATAAAATGCTCAGCAGTTTGCTACAGTTACTAAATCATTGCACAGTCCTTATAATTTTAAATCACCAATAGCAATCGACAAAACTGACTAAGACATTGTCATCACTAGTAACAACAATAACTTTTACTAATAATGATGGTTTTGTATTTTGTATTTTGCAATTTAAGATCATTGACGACTTAATCAGTATGGCCAAATCGATATAACAATCAAAAAAACTGTAAAGAGTGATTCATGCTGACATTTGTGGAATAAAATGAAAGTACTGTCAACAATTACAAATTCTGTAATTTACTTTTCCAAGCTAATTTAATTCTATTTCAGAGAAAAAAAATGTATCGTAGCAAAAAAGAGAGCAAAATTTACAGCGGAAAGTAGCCCAATGTTTCCGCTCCCATATTTGACGACAACCATCCAAATATATCAATCGAGCTTTGTCTGGGTCACTTTCCTCCTTATATGCATCGAAACGAGCCCGCATTATTACCCTTTGAAAACGAGCTTCCAGACTGAAGATTCAGTAAATGTAATTTGTTCTTTTTGGAAAAAAGAGAAACTTCAGATGCAGTGAAATAAGTTCCGAAATAATCCGGTTTTCATTGATTTTCTTTCCTTAAAACATGCGAAAGTGGTTTTTCTTTAGAAAGAAAATATTCTTTCACATGTTGGCGAGTTTTCAAAGAAAGCAATAATTTCAAATTCATGATCGAAAGTATTTTTAACAGAAATTAATCCAATGTTTCTTTTCTTATATGAGTGCTAATGAGTTCAAGACTTGAATATTCCAGTGAAAATGCTACTTCTTGACATAGCAATGTCCAATGTCCCACTTAGTGGTTAAAGGGAATTGCATGAAATTACTTAAAATAATAACTTTGCTTGTTATCATCAAAGCAAGTAAATTTATGCGAATTTCTTTTAAGTAATCGAGCACCATTATGTCAACAAATCAACCAATTGTCAGAACTCTAATAATATACCTGGAAAAGAGGCAACGATAATAGGAAAACAATAAAGTGAGACTTGAAGCTTGAACATTCCTCATCATTCTACTTAGAAAAAATGATGGACTTACAGATCTGTGCCGTAATAACCATCTACTTCACGCAATGCCCGTTTGAATAAACGACATACTTTCTGACGATGTGATAACGCTTTGCTGAACATCCAAGATGGCGACTCCATGATAGTGATCTGATAACACAATTACACAAATTCACCCAAGTTGATCGCACCAATCCCTATGATAAAATTTATGTAACTTCGTGAAATGTGCAAAAAAAAATCCCATCGTTCGAGATATTAATATCTATAAAGAAATTGCAACATTTAATTTTATTATTAGATATCTTCGTGTACTACTTTTTTACAGAAATGCATATTGCTACATATACTGTACATTGCTACTTATAGCGTATTCACCACCACATATTGTATGATATCATATACCAATTCAAAAATTAATAGAGTGCAAATTTTTATCTAATGTATTGGATTAAATATCACACACAATACTTTCTGCATAAATAGTTCAACGCACTATACAATAATGTGCTTAGAACATATTCTGTATAAAAAAACATTAATGAAGATATATCATATGAAAACATATGCATACTTTACATCGTTTATTAATGTATACTTGTTACAACGTACTGGATATGAATTATTGAATATGAATTAAGTTGAATTATTTACGGTGTATTGGATACTGCTGAATTATAATATATTATGCGACGTGTTACTTCCTAATTTACTAATGTATACTGTACTTGTTACAGTGTACTGAATACTACTGAATATAATAATGGGTACTGAATATAATATTGTTACAGTGTACTGAACATGAATAATATAATATAATGCAATTGCCTAATTTGATGATTCTTACATCTATTACGAAAATAGGTTCTCTGTTTTCAGTACTCGTGATTTTAATTATAATTTACGCTACTTTCTAGCAGACAGACAGAAGCAATATAATTAGAAAGAGAAAACCGATAAAATTGAAATAAAATTAATAGGGGAAGAAATGAAAAAATACTCTTCTAAACTATATGTCGCTTCTTTCTCATAATTCTTTTCAATCTCTGCTTCTCGTTCTTCACAATCTCTTAATTTCACAATTCGTATCAAACTCTGCTTCTCATGCTCCACACTTTTTCCAGCTAACAGTCCCTGGATACAGTTGAGAATTTTTAATCTTCCCCAAAAATAACACTATCTACGTATAATCTTTTACTGTTCTTATTATACTCTTGCTTTACTCTCAGAATGTACGCCACATACTTACCAAGAAACTCTATCTCCTAAAGGAGAACCGAACAATAAAGTTCCGGAGGCGTTCCTTGGTCATGCCCCTCCGGCATCGGTACAAGCCGTGAAATATTTGAAGTGACTCCAACCAGTTGCGAGCGAGGCGTATTATGAAACCGATAATTTCGGATTTTTAATTGGAATTAGCAATTGTAGTTAAGTTTTATTTCGATGCGATATTAGAGCAGTACGAAGTGTGCTAAAACCGTAGTCTCCGGATCACTTCAAGTATTCTTAGTGTATTAACCTCTTGACCTTTCCATTAGTTTTAAATTTAAGCAGAAATTTTAAATATATAAAAGGCTTTCATTTGATCGCATATTTCGCCTATAATGAAATTTTTTTTCTCTATTAATAAGAAAAATTAATTAAAAATCGAAACTCTTTCTCCCCTTTTCATTTTTCATGAAAATGATTATAATTTTATGAGCATTATCTAATTTTTCTTTCTTTGAAACAATTCAAGGTTTATTATTTAATTGAAATTAGCATATTACCTTCTGTGGCCTTTGCACTGATAAAATTTTTTATTTAAACTTTGATACTTAAAACTTCGAAATATAGTATATTGAAAAAATTTTCTTTGATAACCTCCTACTTGTCACCTTTTAAATTAATTAATTTAATTTCAGTTTTTTTTGTTACATATTGGATATCTTTTGTTTCAAATAATGCTTAACCATAAAATTTCTCCTTCTTCCAATTTCAACCAAATGTTTTATTCCAGTACCGGTATATCTCAATCTAATAACATGATAGATGTGTGATCCAGAATACATACTCATTTATAAAAATATTCAAATTCAGAGATTCTTAAATGAACTCTTGTCTTCTGTCTTGCATGATACAGAATTTCCTTATTGTTTATAAATGAAATAAGCACCAAATTAAGGTATAGTGCACAAATAAGATATGGAAAAATTGAATCTCTAAAAATTTTCCTTGCAAAATTTGAACTTTTCTTTTTTCCTCTTTTCCTAAATTCTTTTAGCCATTTCAGAAGACATTTTATATCAACAAATTTAGTTTGATTATTTAAGGATTTATAAAATAATAATTAAAATTTGCATAACAAAAAAATTTTTTACTTCTTTGCATGATATGATAATATATCAGTGATATCATTTTTTTTCAATTTAAAACAAATCATTTTCCATAGAAAAGATGGGAAAGCGAAAAAGCCTTATCAGAGAGAATTTGAATTAGCAATATATTGTTCTGGCGTACGAAAACTTCGTTCGAAATATTGAAAACCACTAATTGTTAAAACACCCAATGTTAGTGCGATTATTTCTTCTCTTATCGCTTTCGAATTATTTCGTTGTTCAAATAAAACCTTAAAAAAAAATTAAGTTCCATTTGTTTTTTTAATTAATGTTAATGAATGGAAAAAATTAATTTTCAAAATTTATTTATTTAAATCAATTCAAATTGCTTAAACAAAACTTTCTTCAATAACTTATTCATCTTTCTCCCTCTCTTTCTCTCCCTCGTTCATTTATTTTAAATTTCATTAATTATAGTAAAAACAAAGAAATACCTCTAAAAATGTCACAAAAATGAATGTTCCAATAGCAAGTCCTTCGAGAACGATGATAATACCTTGTCGCCAGGATTCATTCATATTAACAGTCTAAGTTAATTTAAATTAATAAAACAATATTTGAAAGTAGTAAACTAATACGATATAATATAAGATTAAAACTTTTGGTGCTAATTAATAATTTTAATTTTAAATTTTTTAGTTCCCAAAAAAAGGTTCCGTGAATTAGCATTTAAAATATTGATTTGCACAAAAATTCATTAAATAAACAAATAGCTTTAAAATCTAATTGTATGCGTGAAATCATTAATTTTAAGTTTGGCATAATTAAAATATAAAATTTTAAAAATAATAAAATTTTTGATAATTGTTGAATGAAAAAGAATTTACCTGTAAGAATAAACCGGTAAATGATCCTATTGGTGTCATTAACGAATATATTAATATTGTTGTGATAACAAGTTTAACTTGTTGTCCAATTGTTCGTGATATTTGTAAGCCTACGCTAAATGCTTCGATACCTTTATGTAACAGAAGTGAAATGAACAATGTAATGATACCAAATTTTTCATCCTAAAATCTTAAAAATTAAAAATAGAAGAGAAGAATGAGTTTTAATCAATTTTATCAATTCTTACTTATTAAATTTGAATAATAGAAATATTTTGTTATATATATATATATATTCATTCAATTAATATTTATTTATAATATTTATATAATTATCTGATATTAGCTATCATTTAATTATTAATTTAAAATATTTATATAATCATCTGATATTAGCTATCATTTAATTATTTATTTAGAATATTTATCAGGTGATTACCTGATGTTAGTTGTCATATGTTTATGTGTCTGCATAAGTTATATTTGATATTCTTCAGTGATTATAAATTATTAACCATTTGCATATTTAATAGTGTTAAGTATTTAAGTAACACTTTATATTTTTAAGTTGCCCAATGTATTCAAATTAGTATTACTATTAGTATTAATAATGTGGAATATATCATTAAAGCATTTAAAAGAAATATTCTTTGTATAAATATGGGAGAAAGTTATTATTATATAAATTATTGCTATTAATAGTTATTTTTGAACCATTCCAAATATCACTTCAACAAAAAATGATTGTGATGAAAATTATTTTTTGCAGTATTTAATTTCAATTTTTAGGCTATCATTATTATTTCAATTATTTTCTAGCTATATGATTTTCATCCGTCCAATGAAAAGCAAATATCATATTATATGATAGCTATTGATATATTTATAATTTTATAGTATAATAGAGCAAAATTACATAAAAGGATAATTGAATTACAAGATGTTTTACTTGTTGATATATTAATTTTAATTTCAATAATTAAAATAAAAACAAAAATTCATTTTTCTTCCTTCCATCCTCCTCTTTCATCTACTTTCTCTCTCTCTCTCTCTGTCTCTGTTCCTTTTCATCGTCCAAAAGTAAATTTTAAATTTGTTAGATAAAAGGTTGAATAATTTTAATAATAGACAACCTGTACGCCAAGTGCGATTCCTTCAAGTATCGAATGAAATGACATTGCTATTGTAAATGTAATGGAATGTATAATACCGTTTGCTACAATGCTATTACTTCGACTCCTTCTATGAACAACTTCTATATCAGAACTGAAATTTTAAAATTCTTAATTAAAAAAAAATGCAATAGCAAATTTGAATCAAGAATATTGTTCTTTCAAGCATTGCAAAAAAATTATCTAATTTATTCTATTGTTTATATTTATTTCTGTCGTCGGATATCTTAGTATACCGATATAAATTAATCCTATGAAAATAACTTTTTCCTGTATTCTTCAAATTTCCTGAAAGTCTCATTCCGAAAAATTCACTCCCGTGAAGGAAAGGATGATGAGTGATAATGTTGAGGTAGTGAAAATACTTTAATACTGAAATTAGCAAAATTTTTTATCAGGTTAGCAAGAAAACGATCATTAAATTGATCAGTAAAAATAACTATAAAATGGCCGTAAATGATTAGAACGGTAATAAAATCCCGGAATTGAAGATGTAGAAGCTTAGTAATAGTTGTTTGTGATATTTTCTAACATTCTACAACAAATTACGTTTAGGGTATTCTTTTCCGATAACATATGAAACTTACTTAACAATTTCACCGTTAACTTCGATATCATTTGTTTCAACAACCCGATATTCACCCAACGATTCCATTTTTTGTTCCAATTTCATTTCATTACTTTTCGTTAATTTCAACATTTCTATTTCTTTCCTGAATAATTATTTCTCACAATGATAATCATTTGTTTTATATTATCATCAAAATTTTTGCAAATCTTTCAATAGCTTTTGCATCGCTATACAGATTAACAAATTTTGGCTATCTGGAATACAAATTTTGCATAGCTATTCGGAATACAAATTTTGCATGGCTATTCGGAACACAAATTTTGCATGACTATCCAGAATACAGATTTTGCATAGCTATCTGGAATGCAAATTTTGCATGACTATCCAGAATACAAATTTTGAATAGCTATCCGGAATGCAAATTCTGCATAGCTACCAGGAATACAAATTTTGCATGGCTATCCGGAACACAAATCGTCCGAAACATTTCTCCATTAATTCCTTTTTTTTCCATTAAATATATTATGTTAGCATTTTAATCTCATAATATTTTCCGGTTGATAGAAATGATTTTTCCGGCTTTCTCTTCTTCTTCTTATGTAATAATTAATAATTTCATGACAAATATCTCAGAAAGTTTTTCCGTATTTTTTCCCTTTCTCTTATTTATTCCAAAAACTATCACACATAAATTACAAAAAGCATATTTAAGGTAAGAAAAATTTATAATTTGAAATTAATAAAAAATAGTAATGCAAAAATATACATACGGTTTTCTTTGCGTTTTCTTCGTTCTTGAAAAAATCCATGCAAATAATTCTTCAAGAATATAAACGGATAAAATTCCAATACAAACGAGCAATTCCGGTACGGGATATGATGTATCCCATAATGTGATCTTCTTAAATTTTCGAAAATTTTCACTGAAAATATAATTTAGCATAAATAGATAAGAAATTTAAATAGTTTATGAATAAGCAAACAATAAAAAAGTTTTTGAGCTTTTGTTTTATCTCAATTGCTTCAACTTTTTTAATTACATAGAAAATTTTTTTTCATTTCAGATCGATTAATTGCAATTATTTTATGCTATTCGCGCTTTCTAATTGCACCAATGGCTATTATCTTTTACTCTTTAGTTAACTAATTAATTATTTTAACTCCATGAATTGTTTCAGGTTGCTCGTAATTTCATGAACTATTTCAAGTTGTTCGTACATTTGTCTTGCTAAATTATCACTTGCAAAATATTTATTGATGCTAAATTATCACTTGTAAAATATTTATTGATGCTAATTTATCACTTGTAAAATATTTATTGATTATGCTATCAGTAATCAGATGATGCCAAATAATTAGCTTAAAAATAATTTCTTCTGAGTGATTCTAATGAAATTAAGAGAAAGTGCTAGCAGAAATACCGAATCACAGTCTTTGTTTTGCAATGAGCTTATTGACCAGTACCGCCACCGTAAATTACCGGCGATCTTAAGAAAATAAAGTTCCGAAATTTGCAGGAAAAAATCATTTCTTTGTATTTTGCTTACATAACTTTCGTAGATAATTCATTATGGATCCGTTTTATCTTAATTAACACAATTAATTATTACAAATGTTTACTTAATTTAATTGATAGCTAATGAAAATGATAGCTAATGCAAAATAAGTGATGAGTTTTATTGCATCATTAGTTCCTTCTGTAATTTTCAATTCTTAATTAAAAAAATATTTCAATGCTAAAATACTTTAGATGTGGTAATGTATCCATGAAGCAAGTTGCCAAGAAAATGCCACCAGCATAACATGACATTATAGACATAATGACTGATGCTCTCCGATTCATTACACCTTCGGAAGCAATCATTGTTATGAGCTAGAATTAAACAATGATTAAGTATCCGATCAAGCAAATCCGGCATAATATATGCAGTAAAGTCAATCAATAACTCCAAGATTACAATGATAATCTTTCTTAGCATATTTTATGGTATATTTTCTTTAAAATTATCCATTCTTTGTTTTATAATTTTGATATATTAAGAAAATTATTTAATTAATTGCCTAATTAATAAAAAATAAATTAAAATAAACGAAATAAAATAGGAAATAATGCAGCAAAAGATGGTCGTTTTTCAAACAGCCTCTAATAATTTTATACGATAACAAAATTTAATTTTACCTAAAATTAAAAAGATAAAATTCTGATAGCATTTTAGGATTTTGAAATTTCAAAATTACAATCCTAAATTTTGAACATTTTCTATTTTCACAAATAGTAAACGATTGCAAATTATAAATTTTAAAATTGATTAATTATAACCGGATTATGAATCCGGAAAATTTTTTCCTTCATTAAAACTTACTTTAAATGGTGCAAGTCCAGCAACTGTTGTTGTTATGAACATTGCAATAGCAAAAACTATTTGCATTGTAAATTTATCCATTTCTTACCGTAAAATTTCTTGCTGTAAAAAATTGCCAAATTAAAGGTAAATATTTTTTTTCTTTACAGTAATACTGTAATCAATAAGATAAATTACGGTATAAGAAACAAAACTAGATTTCTCTAAAAAAATTAAGAAATTTGAAAGTTCGAAAAATTTTTGCAGCAAATTATAAACAATATTTTTTATCATTTGATTAGGAAATTTTATCACATTTATTCTTAGCAATGCAAACAAACTGTTTATTTCACTTATAATAATAATATTTCACTTTTAAAATTATCGTCAATTTAATAACTTTAAAATTCGTTCGATAAAAATAAAACATCAACAAAAAGATTTTTAAACTCTTAAAAAATAATAAAACGGAATAAACTTCAAATTATCCATTTTATAATTTGATGGAATTTAAAAAGAAATCATAAGCATTTCTATGTAAATTTCATGATTCGTACATAAATGAATCGTACTAATATTAAATCTGATATTAAAGGCGGATATTAGAAATTTCATTAAAATTTAAAATAATTCGAAGAAACAAAACCTTAACGAAGATTAGCATTGTTTATTGTAATATTGAATTTTTCGCGAATTTATAATAACAAAAGTGAACTGAAATAAAAATTAGGAGAAAATTTGAAATACTTTAAAAAGCGTATGCAATGAATTAAGCGTTATTATTTAATTGCAACATAATTGAACACTTTGAAATATTCGTTGTTATAATAGAGTATTCATTGAAATGGATGAAGATAAAAACACGTTGATACGTTTGTATATACGTTATGCATTGAAATGAATGAAAATGGAAGCACGTTTATATATTTGTATATACGTTATGTGTTGAAATGGATGAAAATAAAAACACGTTTATACGTTTTGAATATACGTTATGCATTAAAATGGATGAAAATAAAAGCGCGTTAATGGATGAAAATAACACGTTGATACGTTTGTATATACATTATGCATTGAAATGGATGAAAATAAAAGCACGTTGATATGCTTGCATATACGTTATGCATTGAAATGGATGAAAATGGAAGCACGTTTATACGTTTGTATATACGTTATGCATTGAAATGGATGAAAATAGAAACACGTTGGTACGTTTGTATATACGTCAGTAAATTACGTAAAAATAATTTAGGAACTTTGAATAATTTCAATTGTTTATTAATTTTTTTGTTAATTTAACTGTTTTAAACAAACTCAATAGAGTGTAAACTTCTACTTTTCAATATAGATTAAATTTTTACTAAAATGCTATCATCATATAGTTAAAAAAGAATTGGATTTGATAAAAAATTTTATTTAATTTCATTAGAGTTGAAAAAGATATTCGTGTAAAAAATTATAAATATCGTATAGTTATAAATATCGTATCGTATAGTTATAAATATCGTTATAATTATAAATATCGTATAGTTATAAATATCGTTATAATTATAAATATCGTATAGTATTACTTATTAGAATTTATTAAATTTTCAATTCAAATTAAGATGGAAAGTATGATCGTAAATTTTGAGATCAAATTTAGAAAAAATATACAAATTATAGCAATATCTGAAAATATAATTAATAGTTTATTGTGCGTGTTAATTAGATTATAAGAATTAATTAAAATTTTACTATTATCTAATAATAACCGATAAAATATTATATAGTATATTATTTTCATAACCAATAAAATATTATATATTATATTACTGTTATAACCGATGAAATATTATATATTATATTACTGTCATAACCGGTAAAATATTATATATTATATTATCATTAGTGAACATAAACAAATTATTATATTATATTTATAATTGTTATATTTATATTTATACCATTACTGTGTTTGCTTAATTTTTATCTGATAAAAATATAATATTTTCGATATTTTCGTATAATAATTAATATAATTACTAATTAAGTATAAGGGAGGAAATGGTAAATTAATACGTGTGATTAAAGATAAATTGTGATGTTATTATTTCTATCATATTTTACTTAACAATTTGTTATCAGTCATATTGATGTTTTGATTTAAAATGTAGACATAAGCTGTAACAAGCCATTTAGTATTTATACTCTTTGTTTTTAGAGTTATTTATAGTTACATGTAATTGATCAATCTAAAATAAGTTTCTGAACAAACACTGTTACAATTAAAAAGTTACACGTCAAATTATACGTCTGAGAGACTAAGATGAAAAGGGGAGAAAATTTAGTGACCGTTGATATTGGCTATTATTAAATTACAGGAGGATTATTTAGTCAAAAGTGGAATATATGAATTGCTTGATGATATGCTTAATATCAGCAACATCAAAAGTAAACTAATTAATTAATTAAACCAGTGAAAATTAAAATTATCACTCATACAATCACTTATTATATTTACCTATCAATTTTAATAGAATGGTTCATTTTTGTAATTATGGAATTTTAATGATGTTAATTTACAATTAAGCAATAACTTTTTAGATTAATAAAATAATATATGAAATAGCATTTTGTTCAATACGATGGACTATTTCAAAAATATCCAACATAATTAATTACTGATGGGAAAAATTAATTTCAGGTAAGATATGCAGATTAAATTCTTTATAACANTACTGATGGGAAAAATTAATTTCAGGTAAGATATGCAGATTAAATTCTTTATAACAAAACGAATCAATCTGAAATTAATTATGTTGCAGCCAAATATAATTAATTTCAAATTTTAAATATTCACTTTTTTCCTTTTCCGTATTTTCCAGTAGATAACTAATATAAATTAATGTAATTAATTAATATTAATTGTCTATTAAATGGGTTTTTATTTCTTTTAAATTTTATATAAAATATTTGTAGTAACTTTGATCTGATAATTTCTCTGATAATCTCTGATAATTAATAGATATATAAATTTGACAATTTTGGCGTACACATATACAAACTGTCATATACACATACAGACAGACACATATATGTATACATTATACTATTTACACATATAAATAGGCATAAAGTACCAAATGATAAATTACGATAATGAAAAATTTTGAAAGCTTCAAGAAATGAATGAAGCGATAATGTTAGTAGTGAAGGAAGAGATGGAAGATAAAAATCAATGCAAACTATGGGGCACCCGTGAAGTACACTGATAAAAGGTTTGACAAGCATTCCCAAAGAACTCCTATCACCCATTTTTAAATACTACCCATCTAAAAAGAAAATTCCCATTTTTAAGCTGTAAAAATTTATCAACTACCTCCACACCATTCAGTCAGCCACTGGACTGATTGATTATCAACAAATTAATCTTTGATCTAAATGTGATTTTGTTTATCGAAAAATTTTCAACTTCTTGCACTAAATAATATATCAGTAGTATATTAGCTGCTATTTTAAAACAATAGAAACTAAAAATATTTGATTCGTTTATTTAATTTGTTCATTAAGAATAATTAATTAAAATTTTATAACTCAATACTTTCTATCAGTTAGTCGTTTAATTTCATTTTAATATTTAGAGAAGTGTTTGTTGAAATAATATACGACAAATGTTTTCAATGAACAAATTAAATATTTTAAATATTAAAATGAAGCCGAAAAGATTTTGCAGCTAAATATTATCGAATGTGATTTTTTCATTATCAAAAATTACAATTAAAATTATCAATTCATTTGATTCAAATAACAAAGAAATGATAATTTATTCCAAAATATCATCAAATGAACTTTATTTTTGGTAAAACAATAAACAATTACCGTGCAAATATTATCGTGATAGGATAAATTTCAAAAAAATTGATTATTTAAATTATCAATAATCTAAATTTGATTATTTCAATAATTAATGATTAATTTGGCAAATTATATTCTATGGAAATGATACATATACTTTACGTTGAACAAAAATAAAGTTGAGCAAAAATATTGATTGAACCAACAATTCCTATTCAACTAAGCTACAAAATTTTGCTTCTCAATAATTGAAGTCAAACTATGATGATGATCTTTGCCCTAATAATTCAAAGTGATACTATGATATCATCGTCAAAAAGATTTCCGCAATGTTTGGTTGAATGATAAAATTTATGCAATTACTAATATAAAATTAATGCAAAGTATATAATTTATTTAAACAATAAAATTTTAAATATTCTAATAGTAATTGAAAGTTAATTAAAATTAAAATTTTTTTTTGATGTTAATTTTCAAATTTTCAAAATTTGTCGAATTCAAATTTTCTTTTATACTAACTAAAATTAAGAAATGATAATGAAATCTTTTCATAAAGCATAACATCGAATTGTAATATTATCACAAACTTCTCGACAATTATCAATCATATCATTAATTATCTTACCATTAATTACTATGATGCGATTGAAAGTTTATTAAATATATAATTTTTTTATCACAAACTTCTCGACAATCGTCCATCTTATCATTAATTATGCATAAAGAATTAATTAGTTTCTCTGAAACTCAACAATAAAAAATAGAACAAAAAACAATTTGTTATCATATCTTTGTAAGATTTAAATATTTTTGGAAATTTTCAATTGCTAACATTTGTTGGTAATTAATTTAAGAAGAGGGCAGTAAATAAAACAAAAGTAATCTTCAAGATTTAACGAAGAAAATGAAATTTAAAATTTAATCAATTGGAAGAATAAAAAGGTAAAGCGTCTTATCTTTTTTAATACTTAATTTGAAATTTGATACTAAAATAAACGGTGTTGGCAACTGCTATAATCAATTAATTAGTAACGACCTTGGCAGGACTCGAACCTGCAATCTTCGGGTCCGAAGCCCGACGCCTTATCCATTAGGCCACAAGGCCGATACTTTGATCACTTTTTGATCTCTTCGATTGGCAATATTTCAACACAATTTGTTCAATTGTTTTATTTGTTTGAGGAAACAAACTTGTTAAATGAAACTTCACCAAAGTGTATATTTAAAGTAAACATTTGAAATGGACGTTATAGTACTACACCACCGTCATACCTATCCGTACATATACCATATCCATTCCCATACATATACCATATCCACTACTATATATATATTAGCATTATGGTAGTATTCCTCCTCTATGATATTGTAAGAGGACCATATTATGATTTAAAACTGATTTCATGATTAAACTTTCCTAAATTATATATTATACTAGCAAAAAATATCGATTCCAATTTCAATCCATCTATATATTTAAAAATTAGAGTAAATAAAAGATAATTTAAAAACGAAAAGAAAGTTATATTTCCTTCCTTATTTGGCAAGTTCTAAACTATTAAACGTTTTTCATTCATTATCAAAACTTTATAACAAAATATGATTACTTCTAAAAGATATCAAAATATTCTCACATGCAGAATAACACATTTTGAGTTACATGTAAATATGAAAGTGTTGTAAAAAAATATATCAACTAACTCGTCGGTTTTGTGTAAAATTTAATTGATCCAATAATTTACATAAAAGTTCAATTAAATAACCTTGGAAAAAATTTCACATTGAAATATATTATTTTATATTATATTATTTCGTCGGATGTCACATGTTTTGTTTATGTATTATTCATTTGTCATACTTATTTACCTGTTCATTTATTCTTCACATCGGTGAACAAAAATTTGTATTAAAATGTAAAAATGAAGTAACACATTTTGAGTTATGTGTAAATGCAAAAAGTGTTGTAAAAAATATATCAACTAACTCGTTGGTTATTTCAAATTTAATTGATCTTATAATTTGCATAAGATCAATTGAATTACTTAATTAGGGTTATATGTAAATGCAAAAGTGTCGTAAAAAATATCAACTAACTCATCGGTTGTGTCAAATTCAATTGATCTTATAATTTGCATGAAAGTTTAATTAAATAAGCTTGGAAAAAATTTCATATTGAAATATATTATTTTATATTATATTATTTCATCGAATGTCACATGTTTTATGTATTATTCATTTGTTATACTTATTTACCTGTTCATTTATTTTTCACATCAATGAACAATTGGTATTAAAATGTAAAAATGAAATAGAGGGATGAAATTAGCAGCAGAAAAACAAAAAGAAAAAAAAGGTAATTTCTAAATTTATTCATAAGAAGGTGATGCCAGATTTCAGATGATAAATTCATATGATATGATTATATGATAATTATATGAATTCATATGATATGATAAATGAGAGTACCAATGATATTTTAAATGTGTGAAATAAATTGTTGCAAAAATAAATTAAGGCAAATGCAATTGTAAATTTAGCGTATGATTATAGTTATATGCTTATAAGTTTATGGTATGCAAACAGCATTGCATTAACTCGATCAAACAGCTTTGACAATCTTTTGCGATATATTTGTTTAATCATTCCAATTCATTGGATGATTCCTATGCGTATTCCCTTTTATAGAAACTTCTCAAAATTTTATATCATTTCATCTAAGCATTGTTCGGAATGATAATGACAATGATAATGGTAATAGGTTGATAATAAAGATGTTAACTATGCTGCTATTATTGCCCTTTTTTAAACAAATAGTAATAATGAATATTAGCAATGATAGTAATAATAACAATAATAATACTAATAATAATTTGATAACAATAATAACAATCATGATAACGATAAAGATGATAATGAGATATCATTAATAATAGCAGCAATTTGGTGACGGTAGTAATAATAATGATAATGATAATGATGATGATGGCGATAACGATGATGATAGTAATAATAGCAGCAATTTAGTGGTGGCAATAATAATAATAATGATGATGATAACGATGAAGATGATGATGATGATGATGATGATGATGATGATGATGATGATGATGATGATGATGATGATGATGATGATGAAAATTGACAATGACTAAGTGTGCATACATATAAAAGCATTAGGAAATGATGGTATTGCTTATCTGTTGACATAAGCGGAAGATGGCAATGTCATTCCTATTTCGAGAATGCCTTCTAAACGGATCCCACTTTTTTTGCATATTCTTCATTTGAACAGTATGGAGCAAACCGATACTTTCCATTTCCATTTCTTTTTTTAATTCAAATTTTCAATTTCATTGCCATTTTTTCTTTAAAATATATTTTGAAGAAGAAAATGAAAATTGTAAATATTTATTTTAATTTGCATATCAATTATTTCAAAGTATTAAGTAATATTTGTATCAAATATTAAGTACATCAGTTATTATATTAATTATTATATTATATTAATTACTTAATATCAAATAATAATTATTTTACGAAATGATTATTATATGGAAATAAGGAGAGGGCGAGAAAAAGAGCGTGAATGTAAAAGGGAAAGAGAGATGATGAAATAAAGCAAAATCTGGTACTAAAATTGATAGTTAATAAAAGTTTATAACAGAGTATATTAGTATATTCCCTATGTTTCAAATATTAAGTATATCAATTATTATCATATTAATTACTCAATATCATATTAATTACTTAATATTAAATAATAATTATTTTATGAAATGATTATTATCTGGGAATAAGGAGAGGGGGAGGAAGAGAGCGTGGATGCAAAAAGGGGAAGGGAGATGGTGAAGGGAAACGAAATCTGGTACTAAAATTAATAGTTAATAAAAGTTTACAATAGAATATATTAGTATATTCCCTACGTCAATTAATTCATCCCTAATTAGTTAATATTCTTTTTTTTCATCTCTAATTAGTTAATACTCATCATCTCTAATTAATTAATACTCTAAATGATGTTTCATAGAGATTATTTCAGATTTTTCCTGATCACAATCTAGACAATTTATTATTGAAGATTCTTCTCGAAAGTAAAATAGTTGCTAAATTTCAAATTGAAATTAAATAGCAGTTTCTGATGAAGCTATATTATTATTATTATAGGTTTAAATATTCCTAATTAATCTACTACACATTTGATTATAGGATACTATGCTACAATATGGGTTTTTATGCTTATTCATCATACCATATTCATTATTAAATGCGCAAACCGAAATTCCGGCTCAGGTTGTTACTCTATTAGATAAGAAATCATATGTTGAATATAAATTTATTGAATGGAATTACTCAGGTTTGCATTTTCATAAAGTTTCTCATTCAATTTTCATATCATTGTTTAATTTTAATTAAATTCCATAAATTAATTAAGCATAGGAAAACAAAGTTTTGTACTGATAAGAACTTGAATTTGAAAATCAAACTGAATTTAATTTAATTTGTTTTAATTAATAAAAAAGTGATAACAGATAATCAAAATATAATTTGTAAATAAAATTTGTAAATAAATATTTGGATGAAATTTCTTCTCGTAATTAAGTGAAATTATAGAAATATATTGATAAGTAATTATTTCTGGACATTATGTCTTATTTAACTCCAACAAAATTTATAAATTAAATTTTCTAAAATTTGTTGAAACTTTTTTTTGACACATTTTTTAAATCAATACTATACTTTAATCAATGAATTATTTGAAGTTGATGGACCACAATTGATCTTGCCAATACGTTTTCGTACTCGATCAATCAATGGACATCTGATAACATTATCAGCACAAGGAATTGATGATGACAGCATATTCATTGTATGTAGCAACAATTTATTTTCTTTTCCTTTTTTACATCACTCATATCATTACTCATATCATATTACATTATATTATATCATATCATTATATGCTTGTAACATTTCTATCCTATCAGTTAATTGTTTTTAAAATTTACAATGAAAAGATTTCTTTAATAGACAATAATCATTTATTCATTACAGTAATCATAAAACTGTAATTGCATTATATTTATATCATTGATAAAAGATGAAAACAAAAGCAAAAGCTTTTTTAAATTGAATATAGATAAATTTGCTATTTTTAAATATAAATTATAAAACACTTTAGATTATAGTAAATTATTTCACCACCGTATCGATGAGTAAATTATTCCAGTACCGTATCAATTATTTCACTACCGTATCAAAGTATCAATGAATATGAAATGATATGAATTAAAAGCATTTTATATAAAAATTTATAAAACATTTCTGTGATTAGTGATATAATATATCATTTATCTTTATATGGCTAATATTTAAAAAAGCGGTTCACACTACGAAATTCCGATGAAAGAATGCGGGAATTGAATTAAATGTATAATTTTTAAAATATATGCAATAATGCTTTAACTTAATTAATTAATTCATTTCATTTAATTAATTTTAATAATTTAATTATAATTGAAAACAAAAATAGTACAAAAAATTCTGCAATGAATTAAATGAAAGCGATAAAATTTTATAATAATATTAGCAGCCTCATTCGGACCATTTCCATTATTACTATAAATATGCTAATTTATATTGAGAAATTTTTTTCGTCAAATATTTCAAAAATTATTTCAATGAAATATTACGATATTTTGAAAGTTTATTTTTGAAAGATTAAATTAATTTATAATTGTTTTTTTTTTAATTTCAATTAGTGAAATTATTTCTTTTAGTAAATGAAATAATAATTATTTTGAACAAAAAGTGATGATAGAATGGTAAAAATAAATGAGAAAGAAGCAAATTAAGGCATAGATATGTGAATTAATATTTTGGAAAGTTTGAAATAGCCGTATATTCGACATTTAAAACGATTATTGGGCGAAAAATATTTCATTAAGGTCTATAGGCTTTTCATTAAGGCTTTAGGATAAAATATACCTGATAAACCAATTTGCAGCAAAATTCCTTCTCATCAGAAATATTTCATTTTTAACTTTGCAGTAGAATTACCATGATTATCCGGTTATACAGATAATCAATCATTTTATCTCTATCAAATAATTATTTCATTGACTGATGTGTTTTTTTTTCTAGCTCTCTACATATATTGATAATGCAGCGATTGTTGTTGATTTGGCCAATGGAGAGCGGGAAGTTATCAGGAAAACCAAGAAACAATTACCCGGTTTGATTATTACTTATCTTTCCTAATAAGTCGGAATTATCTTTTAAGGCTAACAGTTTTCTGAATCCGTAATTTTAGATATACTTTCGGAATTTTTGTAGTATAATGTATGGTTTGAAGAAGTTTGCTTAATTATTCTTATCATATTTAATTTCAAAATAAAATCACAAATATTAGCTAATGTGGAAAAATGACGAAAAATAAATTTTAGGTGTAAATAATGGCACGGAATATTCGATGTCAATTCAGCTAAATTTGGAAAAGAAAATGTTAAAAATGATTTATGGTGAAGGAACGGTAGATTCGTATAACTTTACTGATGACATCAAAGTTGAAAATCGTATGAAGCTTGCTATAACAACTGGAAGCAACGGTATGCTTTTCTCTCTTCAATTATACCTGAATGAAATTTGGAAAAAATGCTTTCCAAACTATTTGAAGGCAACTTTTAGTACGTGATATATTTTATCCTTTCTCATCATCACTTGTCTTTATTGTAATTTATTACTACTATTATTATTTATTATTTATTATTATTATTACTATTATTATTATTACTATTATTATTATTATTATTATTATTATTATTATTATTATTATTATTATTATTATTATTGCTATCATTATTATTATTATTGTTGATATCATTATTGTC